GAAGGTGAGTAATTAATGACAGCATTTTCATTTTTGGGAAAAACTATCTTTTTTAAAGTACACTCCATTTGATAGCATGCGTGAACACAGGCACTGTTCAGTTTGCTATTTTTCTCCAGAAGTTATGAGAGATAAAAAAAAACTCTTTGTACACAAACTAGAGTTGTGTCTTAACCCCCAACCTCAAACCTCAACAAATGCTAATTGTTGCAGAAACAAAACAGTGTTTTCTGAAAGACTCACAAAAATTGAGAAGAAATTACAAGCCAACCAATCAGACTACAACTTGATAGTTTGTCACGTCTTGCCATTCTGTTGCCAAAGAATGATCTGTAAATGGTTCATGGGTTTGTCCTTAGCTATCCATCTCACAAGCTAATTACAAGTTGATTACTATGAGAAGCCTGTGTCCAAAAACTCAGTTCATCATTCTGCTGTTGAATCTGAGGTGACTTCTTATTGGGTAAGGGGTCAACAAGTGTACAGGGGTCAATTTGATTACTATAAGGGAACACGATTCAATCTGTTTATATTGCATTGTTTTGATAAATGAAGTATTTTCTTGAAAAGTCATTTTCCCCCTCCTGTTGATGTATGACTCAAGGAATTATCACGAATCTGGTCCGTGGTTTTCCATCTGCTCGCCACCAGATGTTGCCTTCCAGTTACTTTGACTCTCACACTACACAAACTGTTGCATGTCACGCCGGACTACATTTCCCATAATCCATTGCACTGATTACACACACAGCTGCAACCAATCAAACACCCTACATAAGCCATGGACTTCCTCTTTCAAATCCTTCTCTAATCGCCGAGTATTGTCTGCATTTATCACTCTCCTAGTGGTAGCACTTTACAGAGCTAGTATCCTGTCTGAGTTTAGTCTTGTTCCTAGTTCTAGTCCTGTTTTGTAATGTCTAGTTTTGCCCGATTGTCTGTTCCTGGCTGATAACCTGCCTGTCTTGGATTTCTCTCTCGTCTTGTTGTTTGGATTCTGTTCGCACCTCGCCTGGATTAATATCTGTCTGTAGATTACTCGCCTGCCTCATCCTTTGGATTATGTTCGCCGTTGATCAACCTACGCCTGTTTATTGGATCACTCTTCTGTCTTGCCCTCTAAATACCTGTTTGCCATTGTCCGACCCTTGCCTGTTTTGAATATGTTTAAGAATAAAGCTTTGCAGATGGATCCGCACGTCTCTCGTCTCAGTCGCCCCGCAACACTTATGCAGTGCTGAGCACACAGAAAATAAGGTAAACAGTGTTTTCAAAGCGGGTAAAGTGTCGGGGTTTGTGAGGCAACGTGCTCTCACATAGGCTTGGCTGTTTGCGGAGGAGCGGAGTGGGGAAAACCACTCTGCCGGTTTCTCTTACAGAGTCCAGCCTGTTGATTTCATGAGGAAAAATGTTATCACAGAGCGTTCCAGAACTACCTGCAAACAAACACACAGGATATGCTGAAAGTCTGCTTGTGAAGGTTGACCTTATATCTTTATCAAACTATCCCAATTCACAGGGCCTGGGACAACATTTTTATGGGTGGGCCCCTTCCCCCTCCAGGCCCAATGAGTAGTCTGTATCATAGAGGACCATGGTGGGACAAGTACAATGTCCCCAATTAACCCCTAGCAATGGTCCTGCTTAATAATTATGACTACTTAGGAGAAAACATGCAATGATCAAGAAATGCAAGAAACTGATTCACATCACCGCTATGGCACTTTTACAATCCGCAATCCCACAAGCGGTTATTTATTTCACTTTAATGACTCACGTTCCTGCTTGACCCATCAGATCATCTGTTTGCTCAAACGGCTTGGTGCTTACGCTAATTTAACTGAATGAAATCTGTTTGCCTGCGGAGGCTCTCAGACTTTCCCTGAGTCACTGACCATCAAAAGACGCCTTTATCCTCCGCAAAGTCAGAGCTAACCTGCTGTGATTAGGTCAACACATATAATCATACACACACACACACACACGCTCACTCACTCACATTTTAAAGTGCTTAATGAAGGAGCTTCACCTCACTTGAATTTGTAATGGAACACCAGTGTGCTGCTGAAATACAGTTGAATATTGCCTACTAAAGTGAATCAGTATGCAGTATGCAATGATAATTATTTCAAAATTATCTCATTTTTAATTTTGTGTAAGAATGACTTTAACTTTGGGAGTCAGATCAAATAAATGTGTCAAAAACAAACAAACAAAGAAAACAAAACAAAAAAGGTTGCAATTGCTTTTGGTGTCCTTCAAAATTTGGACCACCCATTCAAACTGACATTGCTTAGGACTCCAAAATGATTGCACTAGGTGAAAGATCTTTTAATTGGTGCTATATTCCGTGCCTGATTAGAAATCCTATATAGCCACTTTATAATCTATTACGACTACTCATGTTTTTTATGTCATATATTACAAAATTTAATTTATAACCAAAGCTTTAAATTGTGGCATGAATAATTTTTTTGAGTTAGTTTAGGTTTTGTAAGAGCGTACTAGCTTAACACACCTCTAGTAAGCTAAACTTCAGTTTTGATGCAAACACTTGGTGCTAGATTTATTAACAGCTCGCGCCAGCGCTAAACATCTTTTGCTGTAAAAAAAAACAACAACTATATGGATTTACTAAAGACACACAGTGAAACATTAACAATGAAAAGGTGTGAACCTTGCTACGTTTCTGAGCCTTGATCGTGGTAGGACCCTTGATGTCTATGGAGGATCAGAAAGCTCTCAGATTTCATCTAAAATATCTTAATTTGTGTTCTGAAGATGAACGGAGGTCTTACAGATTTGGAATGACATGAGGGTGAGTAATAAATGACAGAATTTTTGGGTGAACTATCCCTTTAAATGATGCATCTCAATTTGCATACTTATGCACTATTCTATGCAGTTTAAGTATGAATAGTGTGATTAGTGTGTTTCCACTGAAAATTCCAAAATATAAAAGTGCACTTTTAATGTCAGGATGTGCACAATATACACTCAACTGTCACAGCTTTAATTAGTATACAGGATGACAAAATAACCTTATATAATTCATACACTAGACAGTTGAGTACACAGTACATAGAATAAGTCATATGTGACCCTGGAGCACAAAACCAGTCTTAAGTCGCTAGGGTATATTTGTAGCAATAGCCAAAAATACATTGTATGGGTCAAAATTATAGATTTTTCTTTTATGCCAAAAATCATTAGGATATTAAGTAAAGATCATGTTCCATGAAGATATTTTGTAAATTTCCTACCGTAAATATATCAAAACTTAATTTTTGATTAGTAATATGCATTGCTAAGGACTTCATTTGGACAACTTTAAAGGCGATTTTCTCAATATTTCGATTTTTTTGCACCGTCAGATTCCAGATTTTCAAATAATTGTATCTCGGCCAAATATTGTCCTGTCCTAACAAACCATACATCAATGGAAAGCTTATTTCTAAGCGATTTTGAAAAATTGACACTTAAGACTGGTTTTGTGCTCCAGGGTCACATATTGTATAGTGTGTAATTTGGGACAAAACTAAGTTTGGGACACAACTTTAGGAAATGTGTACAGCCAAACACGTAGCTTTTCAAAGTATACTCCATTTAATAGTGTGCACAAACACATGCATACTAAAATGTTTCATTCTTGTTGGTTGTCTCCACTATTTCTCTCCAGAAGTTATTTGCTGGGCGGACATAGTATGTCTGGTTAGAAAAATCTGGCTTTGCACGTACGCATACTAGTTTAGCATACTGCTGGCATATCAACAGCGTGCATATGGTACACTTGCACTATGCTGATGAAGAAATTCATCCCGCGCACTGTACACATACAGTACCATAGAGTATACTTTGGGTTTAGTCTACACTCTATGCAAATTATAATTTACACATATATATATATATATATATATATATATACATAGCTTCCCTGCAGGGGTTCTCAGTAGAATCGATTCAACAGATGAACCCAATTGTTCATGACACTGGTGTATTCATCACATTGGAAATGGCAAATTTACACTAGTATAGTCACCTCGATGACGTGTATACAGAAAAAAAAAAGTGTACTTCAGAAATAGGGTAAAAAGGGTAGTATGGCAGTGTGCTTTATACATAACCACAGTTGTCAGGTCCTCTTCCAAGCAACCACACAAATCTGTCTGGTATTGTCATTTTATCACATTTCTCTTTTAAGTGTGTGTTTGAAGGTCAGGATCTTGTGGCCAGTCCCATGGCTGTGAGCGTCTGTTCTGAACAAATACTGGCAGTCAATGACGTGTCTAGGCCAGTTGTGTGCGTAACACTTTACTGCAGTTCTATTCAACGACGGCTCAATTTGTCTTTGTGAGTTGTGTTTGTTCCAGTCATGCTTTACCACCTGACTAAATTAGGAGACAGACTATATTTGGACTAGCATATTGTACTACAACACTTACTATTTTTGCAGTATACAATGCAATGCGTTCAACTTGACCTTCCAATTTCCAGTGTGATGAATGAACTGAATTACCAAAAATGATTTTCGCATTATTTTTCTTGACTCATTATCTGATTGGTCTGCAAAATGTCAAGACATTTATACAAAATGTAATTAAAACGCAAGATGACAACTGGATGCCACTAACTGAATAAAACACAGTGATGAGGTCATGTGATGAATGAAGTAAGATCATGTGACAACAATTTAGTGTTGAAATTCCTATTACAAGTTTAGACGTGTGTTTGAGTGATTTTGACTGGCATTCTATGGATTCGCTGTGAACTTTCACATTTATTTCTGTTGTTTTTCACTTTCCGACAAAGGTATTTCAACACTAATGTAATACAGAGTTTTTAAAAAGGAGCAAATGGTGTGTATTAGATGTTGTTTATTTAGAATTTCAACTCATAACAAACTTTCTGCCGTAATTCTTAAATATTAAAATTAAATGTGATCATACTACCGATTATGTTATTAGTGCATAACCGCAGCTGAGTGTGTGCTTGTACCAAAGGGTCAAGGTTTGGCTTGTTAGCATGGCCCTGGCCCTGTTTTGCAAGTAACAAATGCATTACAACATTTTATTTTGTAAAACTTTATTTTGATATTCCACATTTTACTAACTATAAGTAACTTTGCAACTACATGTCAACTAGCAGCCATTAGAGTAGTAGACACTTTATTTTGATGGCCCTAACAGTCTACTTAAACTCTAATGAGAGTTAGTTGACATGTAGTTGCAAAGTTACTTATAGAATATCTAGAGTGGATTTTTAACTTTAAACCGCATAAACACATTTCATTACACCAAATACACAAAATAATGTTCTTTTTAGCAGCATCATATGACCCCTTTAAGGATTAAGGGAAGCAAAGTTTAGTGATAACAAAAGACTGGTTGATCTAGTTTTAGTTCTTTTTGTGATTAAAATCTTCATCTGTGTTTAGTTTTAATTGTAGGTGTTTTTTTATTTTTATTATTTGTATTATTATTTAAACCTCCTCACATGAAAGTTAAAAGTTAATTCCTAACTGAGATCACAAAATAATGATCTTTAAAAAAGCATCATATGACCCCTTTAACGTAAAAGAGAAACAGGATTAAAATTCATCTATATTAAATGTATATTAAAAGGATCAGAATAATGGTTTAAATTTAAGTCTGCTTATTTTTAAACAAAGTTTAAAATTTGGTGCAACAGAATTATTGGAATACCTTGATTTAATCTAGATTTAACCTTAGTTTTTGTTGGTGCAAATAAAACACACACATTTAAAAAATGTCCTTCTGTTCACAAATAGTATTTAAAATGCCGTATTTTAAATTATGTTTAAAACTGTTTTAAAACTGCTGTTTTCTATTTTTATAGAGGTATTTTAAAGGTACAATATGTAAGTTTTCACCGCTAGAGGGCGCGTATTCAAAACAAACAAAGAAACAAAGTCGTAGTTTGATGACGCAGTGACTGAGTGTGGAATCATGGGAGTTGTGGTCTTCATCCCCACAGCCGATGCAATTCGATGGGACTCGGGCAGAAATCATGTTCATGGATGAGCTAATGTATTAAACATTTATTAACGTCGTAGAATGAAGCAGGGTGGGGCGAAAAGCCATCGAAGCGAAACGAGGTCGCTGAAGCAATTGCTAATGAGAGACGAGCGTGACACACGGCTCGAAAGCAGCGGAGCTTTTATTATGCCACAGTCGATTGCTTCCACTCCTTCCGGTCGTTCGTATGTGGGGTAAAGCAGCGCTGTTTTATCATCCTAGATACGTTTGATCGGACTGTGTTTGCACCTCGCCTGGACTATTGCTCATTTTATTGGATTACCCCTCTTGTCAAGCCCTTTGGATTATGTTCACCGTTGATTGACCTACGCCTGTTTATCGGATTACTCTTGTGTCTTGCCCTCAATATACCTGTTGCCATTGTCTGACCCTCGCCTGTTTCTGACCATTCTAATGAATAAAGCTTTGCAAATGGATCCGCATGTCTCTCGTCCCTGTCGCCTCGTTACAATTACGTCATTGGCAGGTGACACAATGACACTATGGACACGGTCCGTGTCATTAGTTAAAATTGCTTATTTCTCTGGATTTAAACATTCTTCGAAACATTTGGGATAATGTAAGTACACACGTCAGCAAAATATATAACACTGTTCTAGAGGTTTTGGGATATTTTAATAAAAAAATCTTACATATTGCACCTTTAAATCTCTATTTTTATACATTATAAACTATCTGTGTTGGCAAAGCCCTATTTTTTTGAAAGTCTAAAAAGCAGTGATCAAAACTGATCACAGGTAAAAACATGATTTTTAACTACATACTAAATACTATCTGGTTGTACATAAGTATTGATTTCTTTTTAAAACATAAAAATACATTTTAACAATTGTGCATGTTTGTTGATAATTGTCAACTGCAGTTCTATTCATATAGCATATATCAACCGAACACACACTATATTTGATGTAGTCACTTTGCAAGTTCAGTTCAGTTAGGATTTGAATCACTCTGATCTGCTCTGCCACCTGCTGTTTATCATCATAATGCACATTCGTGAATAAATGAACTGTTCAGGCAGTGAAAAACAAACCATGTAGGTTACATTTTAATTATTTGTTGAAACTAGTCTATGTTTAAAATAGGAATTGACTTTCAAGACAATCATTGGACACGACTAACTACTTATGGAACAGACTTTTCATTTAAAGTTAAAAACCTTTGTCTTCTTAATGTGGCATAAGTATGAGATCTGTTTAGGTCTGTTTCAGTGGCCTCTCCAGCACTTTACTGATTCTAAACTCAGGCTCAAGGCTGGACTGACACTGCTGCTCTTTGGGTTTGGGTGTGGTGTGGTTAGGCTTGGCAGTTTTTGATCCAATGATCCCCACCCACTATCTGTGGACAGATGAGTGGGAGAGACAGAAAGAAAAGGAAAGGAAGAAATAGACACACAGAAATATAATATGCTATATCATATTATATATGAAACATTAAACTCACGCTCATGTCGTTCCAAACCTGTATGACATTCTGCTGAACACAAAAGAAGATATTTTGAAGAATGTTGGTAATCAAACTGTTGCGGGTCCCATTGACTTCCATTGTCCAATATGGACAAAAATAGTCAGTGGGACCAAAACTGTTTGGTAACCACTTTTTAAAATATCTTCTTTTGTGTTCCACAGAAGAAAGAAAGTTGTACAGGTTTGGAATGACATGAGGGACAGTCCATCATTTTTGTATAAACTATCCCTTTAAGTTGGTAGTACTCTATTACTCCAATTACAGAACTGAGAAATTCTTTCATTTAATATGGGTCAGTTAGGAAAACTGTAGCTTTATCCCAAAACATATATATGCTCACCTTTGAACGCTAGGCTCTGGGAGAGGTGATGTGGGGTGGCTTTGGGAATGGGATTAAAGCCAATGCCCACCCACCGTGGGCTGCCAGCGCCCTCTTGTGTAGAGTTAATTCCTCTCTTCCCTCTCCTTTTACGACCGTTACACTTCTTCCGCTGGTTGGCCTGAATATAAACAAACAAAAACAGCAGAATTATGCTGGACAAACACACCTTTGCTTTAAAAGACTAAGAGTTCCATATAATTAATAAAACATTTAATAAAAATGTAAATAAATCACTTACAGTCAAACCAACATTTATTCAGACACCTTCAACATTTCTCACATTATCATGGTTATATTCGCTATAGTTTCGAAAATGGTAATAAAATATGACAAGAACTCAGAGTTAAACTGTGTCAGAACAAATTCAGCTTGATAATGTTATATAACTTTGATAGAAAGGTAGGCTATGTAATGAATTCGGTTGAAT